CTGCTCTCCTATTGGCTGACGATCCGCTGCTCCCGCCCACTCTGTCCGCTCCTGCAGAGAGAACGCGTGTCAGCGGAGCTTCAATTTTAAACCAATTAGAACGCACGCTCGCAACGAAGACCCGCCTCTGTGCGTGCTGTGTGGCCAATCGGCGTTGAGCGCTCATTAATAATGCGGGGTTCCCGGTTCACCAGGTGAGGACAAAAATATGACAACACCTGATCAATGTCAGGATTAAATTAACTTCCAGTTAGCCCCGCCCGCTACAGGTTTAAGCACCCCCACATCTGTTTTAAGTCCCGCCCACTCCAAGTACAGATTCAACTACAAATAATTCAGTTGTGTGAACAGATGTAGACACAGGTAATATTTAATTATATTTTTTATGCCTTTATTTGACAGCTGGAGGCAGACAGGAAAGGGGGGCAGAGAGAGGGGATGACACGCAGCAAAGGGCTGCAGTTCATCAAATAGTTCATTTGATTTACCCTTCCTTTTAAAAAATGTTTTTACTTCAGATGTCCAATGTCCCTGCAGTGAGTGAGAGTGTGTGAATGTACATTTCCATCGCTGTATACCAATCAGAAACAGGTTAAGGTTCAACGTATTTGGCAGACAAGGGTTTTGTAGGTGGTTTATTGATACAAAATTACAATTTTACTATATTTTTTTACATTTACAAAACTGTTAAATTGTGCAGCAGTAATTCTAAAACCCTGGTCACGGCCATGCTGGTATACCGTCTAATTTGCAAGAGAAAATTAAATTAACAGAAAGTTTTGAGCAAAGAAATGTGATGTTTTTTGGGCACCCGGTTAGCTCAGTGGGTAGAGCTGGCGACCCAGGGTTCGAATCCGACCTGCGGCCCTTTGCTGCGTGTCATCCCTTCTCTCTGCCCCCCTTTCCTGTCTGTCTCCAGCTGTCCTATCAAATAAAGGCATAAAAAAGCCGTCTGTCGGGTGAACCCAGCATGAGTCAGTTAACCTAACAGATGCTAATGCCTCTCCCTCTGGTGTTTCCAGACAGCGGTGGAGGTGTTCAGGAGGATGATCCTGGAGGTGGAGAAGATGGAGGCGGGTCAGCCGCAGGGTCGGACACCCTGCTCTTTGATGTAGCTTCCAAAACTCTGTCCTACAACCCCAGAAACCCCAACGACCCTGTCAGCGTCCACTGCAGCGACTGACGGCAGGAGACCGACTCTGTAGTCCTCTTACTGTTTACTGAAGGTTAAACCAAACTCTGTTCAAAAATCTGCACATTTAATGATCAAATGCACATTGAAAGCTTTTTAACACGACTAGGGTTTTCTGTCCATGAGCTCAAAGGGGATCTGTCAAAGCCTCATGGGAGATGTAGTAGATCTGTGCCAACAGATTGAACACGTTTTATATTTGATAAAATTGCAGGATGGGCAGAAAACCTCAGGAGCAGCTTTTCAGAGAGAATCTGTGTGACAAAGATCTCCTGCGAGCTCAGTGCTGATGGTTCAAAACTGTGAACTTCATCATCAGCAGAGAGCTGGGAGGAAGAGCTGGGAGGAAGTGTGTGGGCTCTCTTTGTAGTGCATCTAAACTTTTAAAAACTTCTTGATCCATGAAAATGCATTAGAGGGCGGTAGGAGCAGTTCTGAAAGTTGATAAGAAGATTTGTAAAAAGTGTAAAGTCTTCTGTCTCAAAGTGTGTATATTGGGTATAGCACAACACTAGATTATCAGATTTTCAAATGGGGTTTGGTATGATGTTCGCTTTGTACAACCTGCCATAAAACAGTTTAACCAGAGACCAGAAAAATCTTAAGGTGACAACAGAAAACACTGCATGGACCAAAAAATCTGTTAACTTTAAAAAATGAAAGAATCTGAAGAAACAGTGGAATAAAATAAATGATTATTAAGTGCAATATTGGTTCTTAGGATGGGTTTATGTTGTGTTTGCATCATCAGTATAAAAAGGGATTTAATGACATATTTTTTAAATTAAACTGAGCACATATTTATTATAGCAGTTAATTAGGTTACAATAGATGCATCTGTAACTCCACCCTGAAGATGATGACACTCTATTATATTTTAAAAAACACTTTTTTATATGTGAAAAAGAAGAACTCTTTCTGTTTTTATGATTGTTCTCATTAAAGCTGTGTCCTGTTTTTTGGCTAAAAGTCTGCTCTGTGTGTCTTTACTGAAGCTGATGAAGATGATGATGAGGATGATGATCTGTCTTGTTTGAGGATTATTTTCATTATCAGCTGTAATATCTTCTCAATCAAGATGATGATCTTCCGTTTACTTTATTTGTCTCAAACTTTAAGATTAAATTTCCTGTCACAATGTCAAATGACAAAGAAAACGTAAAAACATTTGAGAAACTGGAACTGAAGAATTTTTGCCATTTTAGCTCGAAACGTGACATGTGCTTGAAACAATGACAGTTAATAACGATTGGTTGTAATGTATTCTTATGGACCGTAGTGTTTAAAGAATGACATTTAAACTGAGCTTCTGGAGCTCCCTGTGTTAAAATGTGAAATAAGTTTTTATCTGATAATTTTGACTTTTTATTTTTAATACTTTTGATTCAACCAAACATTGTTCTTATGATCAAGCCACATTTTCATGTTATTTATGTATTTTGGCAGAAATGTGCTTCCATAGTTGTGTGACTGAGCAGCAGATGAGAGCGGATGTGACCAGAGCTGGTAGTTTGTTGGTTTGGACAGCAGGTGGCGCTGCTGCTGCATTAACAATCAGCTGAGACTCAAACATACAGCAGTGTGTTCTTGGTTTGTCAGCAGCTTGTTTAGGTCCCCTCACATTCTCCTCAGTAACCTGAGATACTTTCAACTGAAAACTAGCTCAGTTCACTGAACCGGTCCGTCCCCAACGATAACCAAGGAAACATCTCAGCTCTGTCATGTGGAAAATAAATCAGCCTTGGATTTAAATAAAATGGTGGATGTGTTTGTGCAGACTATAAAACAAACAAAAAAATAGTTGGTTTAAGGTGAGACGGCTCACTCTGTATCAACCTCAGTGGTATATTCAGTTATAATAGTTTGGCTCTATAATTAGTGCTTATCAATAAATATTCTGTTGTCCTGTTCAGTTGATAAATATCCTGAATTTACTGAAGTCTGATTTCTGATGTCTGTGATAGGATCAGAGAGCACTACCCAATGGATTATTACATTGATATTATTGCTCAGGTCACATTAGTGCAGGTCTGAAACAGGTTTCTGTCTGTACCACCTACCACACCTGCATCTGACCTGTGATCAGTTTATTATCTGACACTGCACATAATCTCTGCTGGGTACCTAAAGTCCCTCCAACTACATTCAAGTTTCAAACTAAATGTTTCACTGTTAACAGCTGGAGTCTGGAGGTTAATTTGCTGTCAGTTTCTATAAGAGGAAGCTGCTGTTTAACTGAGTTAAACACGACTATAAAGACTATAATGAAGATATATACACTATATGCAGTAAAGAAGTGAGGTGTGCAAAATATTTAAGCCTTGTCTAACTAAACTGTACATGTGCAATTATTGCAAAGTAAGTTGTACTGACGTGTACTTTCAGTTGTATATGCCCCGTCACAGGCCTCAGCTGTGGTTGAAAACGTGTCGTCTCTGCACGTATCTAACCAAGAGTTCTTGTCCCTTCACTCTGAGACACACTGAAAAAGAAAGCACAACTTCTGTTATATTAAAAGAAATGCACAATGTTTTCCACCAAACACTACACAGTTAAAGGAGCTGTTAGTATTGCATTTGTCTTTGGGGTTTTCAGTTAAATTGTCTTGATTGTGAGTCTTTTACCATTTATCTATATTTGCTAAATAACAAAAACAAGCCCTCACAGCACCGAGAGCTGATTCACAAATGTATGATTTTGGCATTTATGAATAACACGTGTTGTGTTTGGATAATACATTTAGAATTTAACAAAACCTAAAAGCAGAGAGAACTAATAACCAGCCATGTGTTAACATTTAAATAGTGCAGTGTAAATTCATTTATTGGAACATACAGAGGACGTGACCTCTCTGTTCTCAGTCTGTGTGGTTGAGAAGAAAGTGTCTTCTCTGCA